AGCATTCTTGGCTCAAAAAGCAAAAATTATCACAGAGATTGAATTATTTTATTTATTTCCTAATCAACGTCATTGGATAAACTGGTTTCCAGATATACTGTAAATATAATAATAATCATTTATTTAATTAAATCATTTTGATAAATTCCTTTTAAAAATTGTTTTTTTGTTAGATACTATGATGCACCAATTGATGATATTCGTAAAAAAATTAAAGCAGCAGATGATAGCAATGAGGATAAAGAAGATCTCCCATATATTTCTGATAGGCTTAGAGAACTTGCTGAATTGACTAAAAAAACAGAAAATAATTTTGATTCAAGATTTCAACAAATTGAAGATAAACTTGAAGGAAATCTGAAGGAAATGAAAAATGATTTTGATTCAAAATTTCAACAAATTGAAAATAAACTTGAAGGAAATCTGAAGGAAATGAAAAATGATTTTGATTCAAAATTTCAACAAATTGAAAATATACTTGAAGAAATATTGAAAGCAAATAGAAAAAATCTTAAAGATGACCTCAATGAAATTGGGAAATCACAATAATGATCAATTATACAAATTTTGTTGAATTCAAAAAAAATAATTACTATATTTATTGTTTTATTTTATTTATTATCATTATTTGATATGTTTATTGATCGTATTTGTTATTTTTTTAAAATTCAAAGTTAAAAAAATTAATATATTTCTTTAACAAATTTGTAATTTTTAATGTTTTGAAAATTCTAGAAATTTTAGGATTGAAAAATTTGTCAAGTATTTATTTTGTTCTGGCTTTGAAACCGATTAATAATCAAAGTAATCTCAATAGATCAATCAATTTAATTTCCCAATTACCAATCATTGAATAATGTTTGTAAGTAAGAAGGTATTCATCTTTTGCACAATAAGGTAATAATTTTAATAGAACATAAATATTATTTAAATAGAAAAATTAATTTTTGCCAGAAATCTTTCTTATCTGTCATTGTAGAAAAATTTGTTGGAAAAAATACTGATTATTATTATAGTAATAGCTGTTTTTTTTAAATTTAAAATCTGCTTTTGATAATAATTAATGAATGATAGGCATGTAAAGAAGTAATATACAGTATATATACCGAAAAACTTGGTATATATAGAATTTATTTATATTTAAAAAACTTCCGAATTAATTTATAATATTAATATATTATACCGTTTATTAATTTTATAATTCAAATAACAAGATTCCTGATGAGAATGAGTGTCAAGTTGATAAACCCAAACAATTCATCAATATATTTAACCATTATGAAAAAAAAGAGGTTTTACAGTAATTTTATGATTATAATTTGAAGTTGTTGATTATTTTTTTTGGTAGGCTTTTAACGTAGTTAAAAATAAACGCGATACATAATTTTTGGACCGTTCTCAAAGAAAAAAATGATTGGCTAAATTTTATGCAGATCTTGTTTTGATTTTACCTCATGTGCGCATAACTTTGTAATGCATTGCTTTACCTCTCTGCATTATTTGCATTATTCATTCTCTATATTTAGAGAAAGAGATGAAGGAAAACGTTTAAAAAGGTCAGTATATCGAAATGATCATTGCTTTTTTTTATACTTTGAACTAATCATGCAAACATGTATAGCTCAATGATCCCATCAACCGAAGTCTTTGCAACTTTTTAAAAACTGCTTCTTTGGATGAAATTACTATTTCTAGAATATTCACGGAAGCAATGGAAGCTATTTAAGATCCAATTTAAAAAGGAGGGCTGTGAAGCGTCAAAAAAAAAATTTTTTTATTAATAATGTCATATTCAATCATTACAGGCTATTGACAGGTAGAGTAAAATAATATATTTCAATGCTATAAAAAAATGAAAATCATTCTAATGACTTGTTTACAAAGACTGGAATCATTTTATTCCTTAACAAAATTGATATTTTGAAGCAAAAACTTGCAATATCACAAGTCAAAAAACATTTTCCTGGTTACAAAGGTAAGTGATATATCTTTGTGCTGTACTATTTGGCAAATTAATCAATGGAGACAATTATAAATATTTATATATTATTTAGGTGATAACAAGTATGATAGTGTTTCTGCATATTTTAAAAAACTATTTTTGGAATGTAAGAAAAATGAGAAACAAAATATCTATATTCATTTCACACATGCTACAGTAAGTTATATTTATATTGTTTATAGTCCATGTAATAATTAATAATTGTTTATATTATTACAAATATATTAGGACACAGAACAAATGAGAATAATTGTAGGTTCGATAGATGATCTTATCATGAGAATCAATCTTGAAAAATCAGGTCTTATCAAATAAATATATGTGCCAACAACTATCACTTCTTTTTTTACAAAAGTATTTAATCACCACCTTTACACTAATTTGTAAAAACCTGGATAATATTAATAAAAAGAATTATATCATAATTGTAATTTATATTTTGAAGAGCATATATCCAAATTTCAGTATTTATGTATTTAATAATTTAATTATATTTTTACACTTTTTTTTTTAATATAATAAAAACTTAATTATGCAAAGAAACTCTCCTTTGCCTTTTCTAAATAAATGATTAAAAACTCACATTGTGCTCTCATATATAAATTTTTTTTAAAAAAATTTCAACTGTTAATTAACAGTTTGAGGAAGATCTGTAAATTTTAATAATAAACAGCAGCATTTGGATGAATCCTTGCAGTAATTGTTGAAGGATCAAAATTTATTTATCCATTTTATCAAACACTCTACTAATAGATTTTAATTCATCTTGAATAAGAATAATCTTAAATGAATTATGCTAAAATTCAACAATATTAAGAATTTCAATGTAAAACTTGGGAGTGTTGTTTTAGAATTAAGGTCTTGTACATTCACACATTTTCATTGCAAGACAAATATGTGATGTTGTTGTGTGTGATTTCTCTCTTAAAACTTCTGGTGAAACATATGTCATTTTTGTTTGATGCTGATGTTACCATTATGAATGTCACGGTGAATGATTTTTTGTTCATGAATATCTTTTAAACCTTAATAATTTGACAAAGAATAAAAATTTTGACTTTTCACTTTAAATTTAGTTAAATAATTTTGAAAGATTTCCATTTTCTATTACAAATATATATTCTTTTGTAGTTTGATCTTGTGGTAATCCATAAATTGGAATTTTATTATGAAACTCGTCTAATTTTGAGTAAAAAAATTTAAATAATTTAATTACATTATGGTATTTAAAGACCTGAAAATAAATAGAAAAAAAAATAATTTACCTCATTAAGAAATCCATCATTGAAATCTTTTGTGAATTTTGTAATGCCTCAAAGTAAACATCTGAAAATAAATGATAATTCACCTTGTTAAGAAGTTAATCAGGAATATTTGGTGAATTATGTAATTTTTTTTAGTTCTTTCACCACCATTATTTATAGATTTATCCAAGTAGTTTTGTATATAATTGCAAAACTGCCTACCTTTTTAATACTTGTTAAGTCATTATAAGGAACCAATTGAAGATAATGAGAATTACTACACTCGGTTGCTTTATGTTGTGTGTTTTTAATCAGCCCATCTGGTGTTTCATTGCCATCAGTTAATAGCTTTGGGTCAAATGATTGACATCATGCCAAATGAGTATTATATCTATTGCAATTGGACATTTCTCTTTTTTATATGAATATTCACCATTTTGAAGGCCCCCATCTCCATATAATGCATTATAATGTTATATTCTTTTGTATCTGGATCTTGAATTAATCTATAAATATCAATTATAAGTAATTTACCACATAATTTTTGAACTAAAAAAATATATATTGAATTTCAGTATAATATTTAAAAAATCAGAAATAAATTAAAAAAAAAAAATAATTTACCTATATACCTCTCACTCATTAAGAAACTTATTAGAAACGTTTGGTGAATTATGTAATTTTTTTTAATATACCACAATTATATTTATACAACTTTTATTATTATCATATGCACATTTATCCAAGTAGCTTTGTATATAGTTGCAAAACCACCTTCACCTATCTTTTGGATATTTGTTAAATCATTATAAGGAATCCATTGAAGATAATTA